GGTGCACGCCCCCCCCGCCGCGCCTAGGCCGCAGCCTCATTTTCATCATTTTCGTGAGGAAGTCTCAGGCAAAACGGGTTGGTCCGGATCCGGTTGTGTTGTTACGATCGGTTTTCCCTTGCAAAAAATAAGCTAAAGTGGACATTTCTTGTTCTAACATAACCAAACTTCAAGAATCCCTTGCAAAAAATAAGGTAAAGTGGACATTCGCGCGCGCAAGACGAAATCCTTCCAAAACCTTAGTTTTCGTAGCGATTTTAACATAAAAACATCAAAAAACAATGGTTTTTCAAACAAAAAATGTCAAAATTTCATCCCGCGCGCTCTTGCGGATTCGTAGGAAACCCAACACTTTTTAATCATTTCTGTCAAACGGGCTTTTGCGAGCAACTTTTTTGAACTTCTGCAACAACGGTTGCGCACCTGCCAGGGCCATCATCCCTGTCAAATAATACCATGCGGGACACATTCGTTTTTTCTTCGCGCGCGCACGCCGTCGTCGTCGGCCGCGGGGCCCTGAATAGTAGCCACGGTCGTCCGCATGCCACGAAGTGAAGTGTCCGAACGTCATAGGGCGGGAAGCTGGGTGTGGGTGGTGGCGAAGAGTCGTTTGGAAATTTGGTAGAGCTTGAACCGGCCCCCCCACAAAGTGGGGGTATTGCCCGCCTCCTATGAAAACCCTGGCACTGGTGAGAACGGAGTGTCCCCACGTGCTAGTAATTGTTGTTGTTGTTGTTGTTGTTGTTGTTGTTGTTGTTGTTGTTGTTGAACATTATTACTTCTAAAGAATAATTATTGTTGGGGCCCCTGGTGCACGACCCCCCCGCCGCGCCTAGGCCGCAGCCACATTTTCATCATTTTCGTGAGGAAGTCTCAGGCAAAACGGGTTGGTCCGGATCCGGTTGTGTTGTTACGATCGGTTTTCCCTTGCAAAAAAAAGCTAAAGTGGACATTTCTTGTTCTAACATAACCAAACTTCAAGAATCCCTTGCAAAAAATAAGGTAAAGTGGACATTCGCGCGCGCAAGACGAAATCCTTCCAAAACCTTAGTTTTCGTAGCGATTTTAACATAAAAACATCAAAAAACCAATGGTTTGTCAAAAAAAATTGTCAAAATTTCATCCCGCGCGCTCTTGCGGATTCGTAGGAAACCCAACACTTTTTAAACATTTCTGTCAAACGGGCTTTTGCGAGCAACTTTTTCGAACTTCTGCAACAACGGTTGCGCACCTGCCAGGGCCATCATCCCTGTCAAATAAGACCATGCGGGACACATTCGTTTTTTCTTCGCGCGCGCACGCCGTCGTCGTCGGCCGCGGGGCCCTGAATAGTAGCCACGGTCGTCCGCATGCCACGAAGTGAAGTGTCCGAACGTCATAGGGCGGGAAGCTGGGTGTGGGTGGTGGCGAAGAGTCGTTTGGAAATTTGGTAGAGCTTGAACCGGCCCCCCCACAAAGTGGGGGTATTGCCCGCCTCCTATGAAAACCCTGGCACTGGTGAGAACGGAGTGTCCCCACGTGCTAGTAATTGTTGTTGTTGTCGTTATTGTTGTTGTTGTTGTTGTCGTTGTCGTTGTCGTTGTCGTCGTCGCTGTCGTTGTCGTTGTCGTTGCCGTTGTCGATGTCGTTGTTGTTGCTATTGTTGTTGTTGTTGTGGTCGTTGTCGTTGTTGTCGTTGTTGTTGTTGCTGCTGCTGTTGCTGTTGCTGTTGCTGTTGTTGCTGTTGCTGTTGCTGCTGCTGTTGCTGTTGCTGTTGCTGTTGTTGCTGTTGCTGTTGCTGCTGCTGTTGTTCTTGTTGTTGCTGTTGCTGCTGCTGTTGTTGTTGTCGTTGTTATTGCTGTAGATGTTGATGTTGATGTTGATGTTGTTGTCGTTGTCGTTGTCGTTGTCGTTGTTGTCGTTGTTGTTGTTGTTGTTGTTGTTGTTGTTGTTGTTGTTGAACATGATTTCTTCTAAAGAATAATTATTGTTTGGGCCCCTGGTGCATGGCTTCCCCGCCGCGCCTAGGCCGCAGCCTCATTTTCATCATTTTCGTGAGGAAGTCTCAGGTAAAACGATGTCATCCAGATCCGGTTGTGTTGTTACGATCGGTTTTCCCTTGCAAAAAAATAAGCTAAAGTGGACATTTCTTGTTCTAACATAACCAAACTTCAAGAATCCCTTGCAAACAATAAGGTGAAGTGGACATTCGCGCGCGCAAGACGAAATCCTTCCAAAACCTTAGTGTTCGTAGCGATTTTAACATAAAAACATCAAAAAACCAATGGTTTTTCAACAAAAATTGTCAAAATTTCATCCCGCGCGCTCTTGCGGATTCGTAGGAAACCCAACACTTTTTAAACATTTCTGTCAAACGGGCTTTTGCGAGCAACTTTTTCGAACTTCTGCAACAACGGTTGCGCACCTGCCAGGGCCATCATCCCTGTCAAATAATACCATGCGGGACACATTCGTTTTTTCTTCGCGCGCGCACGCCGTCGTCGTCGGCCGCGGGGCCCTG